GACATTGACCCAGAAATGTTCTAAAAATAAAATTTTATTTTTACATGTCAAATTTCTTCTTCGGTGGAATTGGCTCTGGTTCTTTCTTCTCTTCTTCTACTTTCTTTTCTTTCTTTTCTTTCTTCTTCTTCTCTGGTGGAGATATGTCAAATTTCTCAGAACCATATCTATGTAAAAGTTCTTTGTCCTTTAATAGCTCTTCTATTCTGTTTTCTATTTCATCTTCAAGAACAGCGCATGTGTCTTCTTTGCATTCTAAGAACTTTTGTTGGACTTCATCTTTCCAATCGGCGTCATCTCTGTCAACAAGTCTGTCATTGACAAATTTTAAGACTGCTCTTTGTAATGTTTTATGGTTCTTGTCATATTCCCAGAAACAGAACTTTAGAACAAATTCACCTTTCTTGTTTACATTATGTAAGGTTTTATGGTCTACAGATGTTTTGCTGTCGAAAAGCTTGTCTCGAATATAGATAGCGAAATCGCTAGACATTTTCTAAAAGATAAAAATTTTAATTTTTCTAAAAATATGTTAGAAAAAAGTTTGCTGACATTGACAAGAAATTTGAGAATGTTTTAAACAAGAACAAGAGGAAGTTAGAAAATGCTCAGATAAAGCCTATACATGAAAAGTTCTTATTTGCTCAGAATGGTATAACAGGTCTAATTGCACCACCTGGGTCGGGTAAGACTTTCACTTATCTTAAAATGGCTGCACAACAACAAGAACTAGATGAGAAGAACCCATTTTATGAGTTAGTTGTTATTTGTAGTACTTCTGGTCAATTTGACCAAACCGTCAATTCGTTCAAAGATATTATAAAGAAGTCTAAGTTAGTATGTATAAAGGATACTGAGTTGTTAGATTGGATAAAGAAGTACCAAAGAAGAGTTTTGAAGTATAATGCTATAAATGAGTATATAAATTCGAAGTTTAAAGAACCTAATGAGGAAATGCAGAGAATATTAGACAAACACCACTTCAGAAACAAACAGAAAGAGATAGAATACATTTCGAAGAAATTGCAATCTTACGATTGGAAGACTTACCCTCATAGATGTCTTCTTATCTTAGATGATTTCGCCTCTCATCCTTTGTTAAAGAACAGAGAACAAGATATGTGTCGAATTCTTAAGAAGCTCAGACACTTTAACATCTCAGTTGTCATTTGTGTACAGACAGCAAAGAGTTTAAGTAAGGATGTTAAAAGAATACTTACTGACATAATACTTTTCCCCAGATTGTCCGAAGACGATTTCATGGAACTTATGAGAGTCCATGGCAGGTAAGTTTGACAGACACCAATGAAAAAAATAAAATGATATTTATTTTAAATATATAAGATCCTTATATAAAATATAAATATTTTATCGTTTTATTTTCTTGTTTTAGAAATGTTTTTTATTGAAAAATCAATAAAACTAACTCCAAAATAAAATTTTTGATTTAAAGACACTATGATGACACCAGGCAAATCTTCCAAGACACCTATCGTCGGGAATCTAACAACTCTATCAGCAGACAATAATTGATTGAGGTGATATAAAAATTGAATTTAATTCAATGATCAAACCGACCCATTTGTATCTCAAAAATATAATTTTTTCTATGTCAGAGTTTTGATCCCTTTAGGAATCTTACATATACAGCCTTAATTTTCAAGATTTAATAATTATTGCTCAATGATGTAAAACCGATTCAGAAATTAATATTAGAGTGTCAGAGTATGTTTATTTGCGATCTTTTCTCATTACTAGTAAGTTGTTCATTTCTTGTAGCCCTAGAAATTTATTCTTATAATCCAGAATTTGCTTTATTCGGATATGAAACTCCGGATTGGACACCGGCATCATTCTTTAAAGTTAAGCGCAAAATTGATGTGCCTCTAGAAAAAAATTGGCCAGTATTACGATATATAAATGAAACAATAGAAGATCCTACGCAATACCATTTCTCATATAGAAAACCGAAAGAAACACACGACTACAACTTTTATTACAAGACACTTCAGACTACACACTATAGACTTGAAAGAGCATATGTTAGCTTTAATGGTGCTGTAGGTCTTGATGAAAACACCATTTTCCAACCAACAGATTTTGAAAGGAACGCTACAAATGCAAGTGTTGTAGGCCATTACCGCGAGGTTATTGTTACAGGATATTTATGGGCAACATATAATTTTGGCCATTCATTTGAAGATTTTTTCACTCCACTATTTTTAATTCCTGAAGAAATTAGAAGGAGATCACATATTATTGTATTCTCAATGCCATTTCTCTATAATACACTCCTGGATCTTCTAGGCTTTTTACCAGATCGAAGAATATATTTACCAAAAAATAAAGGTGAATATATTTCGGCTGATATACTCCATTGTTTTGCAAATAGAACCTTTTACATCAGTCAATGGGGGCCAAACACTTACAGATTTAAACGGTTCTTGCATGAAAAATTCGAATTAGATAAAATTACACCATCTGAATACTGCTTTACAAACAGGCCTAAAGGCAAGAGAAGGCATATTCATAATCTTGATGAAGTAATAAATTCAGCAAAAGCAAAGTTCCCAACAATTGATTGGAAATTTATTCCAGATAATCATACAAATCTTATTGAATGCGCCAGGGATTTCAAAAAGATTAAGTTTCTTTTCTCTCCTGTAGGTTCAAACATTTGTAAATGCATTTTTATGGCCGACAATACTGTTGTTATATGCGTTACAGCGAATTTCCCTGAAAATTCTCTGGCAGGTTTCTGTTTAAGTTGTAAATTATTTGAGTTACAATATGATTCAATCTCTGCTCATCATTTAGAATATGGTTCACCAATTAATGTGAACGATGCATTATTCCATATAGAAAAATGTTTGAAAGTATTAGAAACTGGAAATTGGAACGTATATAAATAATAAGAATATTAAAATTAATTTTGAAAATAATCTATTTAAAGTCGATTTATATTCAATTTTTTGAATAAATTCAAAATCGACTCGTAATCCAATAGTTGACAATTTGTAATATCTTTAAAATAGACGCATTATTCATATGGCGCAATGAAATAAAAAAATCAAAATGTGTAAAGCATATTTTGAATATACTTACTATGCAATTTCATACCAGTCTCTATTAAGTTATCGATATTACAATAAATAAGAAAATGATTGTTGAAGTTCTGTGTAGCTGTCAATGTTACATTTGATAAAAAAAATTAAAACATAAATTGAGTATAGCAAGCATTAATCCATTACTTCTAACTTTTTTAACAATTTGATGAAGTTTTAAGAACGACGATATATCTTGTTTGGCCAATTGTACAATTGCTACTTAATTCTGATTAAATTATAAAACATAATCTACATACAAAAATATAGTAATGCAATAATCTCGGGAACATGGCTCTCAATTTTGAATAGTTTACGAATTTCTCAAATAAAATTGAGGGGATTATGTTCCCGAGATTTTTGCAAAAACAGTTTTTTAAAAAGTTCTATAAATTCTTTTACAAAACAATATAACAATATGTATATCTTCAATATTTAGGTCAGGTAAGTGGGGCTTCCAGGCGCGTTGCGCCCTCTAGCCCCGAAGATGTTTAGTATAAATGAAGTTTTTATTCGGAAAATTGTTAGTCTTCTGGTGTGAATTCGGAGGACTCTTCTTGGATAGAGTCTTGTATTTCCTCCTCTTCTTCCTCCTCCATTGCTTCTGGGAAGAAGCCTTCTTCTGGGTCGAAAACATTATATAATGTGTAATTGAATGACACATTATATCTTTCTTTGAGTTCGCTCCTGACAAAGAACTTAGTTCCAGGAATACAGAAGACTTCTGTGCGTTGGAAAAGCTGATGTCCTGGAACGAATTTGGCAATTAGAGACTTCTTTTTTCCGAATTGTTCAGGAGTTTTCATGACGACAGTAACAACATCTCCATCTGCGAGGTCTTGTTGTTGTTCGGAAAGGTAAAGAGCAATGATATGAATGGTTGCTGCGTTGAATTCGAGAAAGTCGAATTCAAATTGTGTTGTCGTATAATATTCAAACCATTTTGTACGGTTGTCTCCGAACTCGTCAACGTATTCATCTTCGTCATATCCGTAACTAAAGACTTGGAATTCGGCAATTCTCTTGTCGAATGACCGTTGGATGTAACGAGGAAGATTTTGACGAACTTGGTATAAAGTTCTCAACATTATAAGCTTAGTAAATGTTGGAAAATACTGAACTAAGACATCGCTAAGCTCAATTGGACTTGGAATTGTCTTAGTAAGTTCAATTGAACTAGTAATTGCTTTGTTCAGAACTTCACAGAACTGAGTATTGTATGTAGCGTCTGGTTGTGTGTTTTCTTCGGCGTCTTTGAGATATTTAGAGCAAATTTGTTGAAGAATTTCTCTTAATTCGCTGTTAGACTTTTTGGTGGTTATTCTAACCGCTGTGCCAGTTCTTGGAGGTTGTGGAGCTTTGGCTTTGGTTAGCGGTTGAGAATTGTTAATGTTTGAATTGTGGTTAACAGCGTTGGCTTCCATTAGATAAAAATGAACTGACCAAAAAAGACAGATATTTAAATATTTGAGATAAACCGTTTTCGTCAACGGTAACCCCCTCTATTTTTTTATTTTATTTAATAGTTACCGTTAGAAAAACGGTTTATCTCAAATATTGAATGAACTATAAACGTTTTTTGTTTTCTATATATACTTTTTTGTCCAACGGTAAAACTTTTTACACAACGGTTTTTGAGAGTCGTCGCCGTTGACTTTTTTGTAGAGCACTCAAAATAGTATAACTTTGTCCGGACAAGTAAGGGTCTATCGTCGCTACAGGAAAAGTTACAGGCATTCCAAGGAAGTATACTTTGAGAAGCCTTTTCTCCATTATAGAATGAGATAGGACGGTTATTTTACAAAACTGACAACACTTTGACCGAGTAGTTTTTTGTGCTGAACAAAAAGTGTCATATAAACATCTGTCAAAAACCGCTTTTTAACTTCACTTAAAATGCCACGTAAGCTACGTAAGAATATACGTAAGAGGAAGGGAGCATTGAAACATCCAATAGTAAAACTGACACCACAACAACAGTTGCAACAACAAATGATGAATGACCCCACTATGTTGCAACAAATGTCAAGCAACCCTATGCTTTTAAACCGAGTTATTGGTGCACAGAGTGGAGGTTTAAGAGCGGCACTTTTAGCGAAAATGGCAGGCTATGGTGGAGCTGCAGACGGAACAGCTTATAACCCTCAAAGTCAAATGAATTTGAGTTCACTCAAAAATCAAATAACAGATGTCAAAAAGTCAAACATAGACATACAGAAACAAATAAGTGAAAACGAAAAGAAACTAGAATATGACAGACAGACAAAGAAACTAAATGAGTTAAACGTAGAGAAAAAGAAGAAAGAAGAACAACTGAAAGAACTAAGTACAGAGGAATATGCGAAAAAAGTGTCAGAAAAAGCAGCAGAAGTAGCAAAAATGGAACAAGATGTTATAAATTTGAAAAACCATACTACTCAATATAAAGTACTGAAAGATGAAGAGATAAAACAAAAAGCCATGAAGACATATATGGATAGCGATGAGTATAAAAAAGAAGTTGAAGCAAATGTAAAGGCAGAAAAACTTTTACAGTTGCAAAACCAAACCGTACAGTATGAAAACTTAGCACAAGAAAGTAAAAATAACGACGCAGCCATGCAAAAGGCAATGAAAAGCGCAGAATATATAAAAGCTAATAATGACTGGTTAGATGCCCAAGCCAACGCTAAAGCAGCCCAACTTATAGGGTCAATAAGGACAAAAATACAAGCGGATGAAGACAGTTCAAATGAAGCTTTAATGAATGCTGACTTTAAGAACGCCTTCGAAGCTCTTCATAGTAAGGTGAAACTAGTGAACGACTTCTCATCTGGAAAGAAACTGAAGTCTGAAGGTTTCGACAAAGAGTTAAGAGAAGTAGCACAAAATATGACGAAAATAACAGATGCAGCAACGAGACAGGCAGTTCAAAGTGCCTATGACGCCGTTAGAGCAACTGTTGTGGAAAGTCAAGAAAAAGAGTTACAACAGACCAAAACAGACCTAGTAAATGCTTTCTTAAAAACGAAAAGTCAGGTAGGACATTATGCTGCAGATGGAACATATGTGCCAGCTGGTGGAACTTATATACCACCAAACCCTCCAAGAGAAGCACCTGCACCAGGACTACCTAAAACATTTACATCGTCACATGGACACAGACACAGGCATGCACCAAAACCAACACAACAACCAACAGTTCAAAATCCAGCACCACAACAACAACCAAAACCAACAGTTCAAAACCCTGCACAACAACCAACAGTTCAAAATCCAGCACCTGCACCACAACCAAAACCAGCACAACAACCACCTCCACAACCAGCACAGCAACCAACAGTTCAAAACCCTGCACAACAACAACCACAAAACAGAGCAAGGACATAAAAGAAGTAGAGAAAAAGGAAACCAAGAATTCTTAAAAATGCTTAAGGAAGATTATGGTTACCCAGATACTCTTGACTTTAGTGACAGATATAAAGAAGCTATTAGAAAGTTCAAGGAAGGAAATACTGACCCGAACCTATTTAGCTTTATGGTTGAGCATCAAATCGGATATAATCTCAAACCTGGAAAATACAAGCTCGCTAAGGGATATGATTTAATAGCATATCATCCAAATGACATGAATGAATTTACTCCGAGATATTTGATGTCAGAGCTAAATGATAATTCAACTCTCTTCATGAAACGCGTAAAAAATAGAGACGGAACGAAAGAAGAAAGGTTTATGAGTCCGGATGACTTAGATAGGGAACTTGTTAAAAACGGTCTCGGAATATATGAAATGCCAGCAGATGAGGTACAAGAAACTCCACAGGAAGAAGTTCAGATACAACCAGACATGGAAGAAATAGTTCAGCAACAACAGCTAGAAGAGCCTGAAGGAAACGAACAAGTCCCTCCTTTGGAAACTAACTTCACAGAACTAGATGAAGATTTGGAACAGCCGAAAAATCTTGACCCTCAACAAGAGTATGAGGTGAATATGGAATCTTTCCAAGAGTCTAAGAAAAATTCGGCTGACATAGTAGAAGAATATCGAAAAATGTTCACCGACATACAAAAGACTCCAACATCAGATGAAAATATTCAGCATAGAATGGAAGTACTGAAAGAAAATGTACGCAAATACAATAATCCTTTTTACTTACGACCATATAACGTTCAATCTTTGGCTGAACTCGGTGAAAATAAAAGGTTAAATTTCAACAAAACATATAGAAATGAAACATTGTTTAAAGTTCATTCAGAACCTAACCAATATGGAAACAAACCTACTTTTGTTTCTGCAGACTATGGAACTACAATGAAATGGGGTCATAAAGCTAATCCGGATAGGTGGTTCATAAACTTACAACCTCAATTCCAAGAAGTTGTAGACGCAATGGAAGTGAATGGTGAACCAGATATAACGGTATTTTCAGCGCGGCTTTAATGCCATTGAAAGATATGAAAGATGCAGATATTTTGGACCAGTATGAAATGAACATGGCTGAGGGAAATATAACACCTGACGTTCTAGAACATTTATCTCAAAGAACTACACAGAACCATAGAGATGGTATATTTGGTGAAGAGTTTAGAAAGAAAGTTAGGGAGAGAGAAGGAAGAGAACCTATTGTACATGACCTTGCAAACGAAAGTTTGCAAAATGTCATAAAAACTTACTTTGCAGACAATGAAATGAGAAGGGATGAATATTTAAGAAAACTCAAATGGACAGTACCAAATGAAATGTTAGTATTGAAAAACATGTTCCATGACAAAATAAAACCAACTACAGAAATAAATGACGCAAGACTGAAACGTTGGGTAAAAGCTTTCCCATTCACAAAAGATATTATTGGTTACATGGAAAGAAAACCAGAATGGCTACAAAAACATATATTTGGAAACGAGCTTATTCCATATGGACAAGCTCTGTTTGAAGAGCTTGAACCGGAAACTCAGGAAAGAGTCATGCAAACAATAAGCGAAGACTCAAATACAAACTATGACAAAATCTTTCTAGGATATAGGTTACCTGAGATGGGCGACCAGAGCCCAAAGGCAAAAAGGACATGGGAAATTTACAACATACTAGGTGAACATGAGGCAAAGATGCTACAACTTGAAGCAGAGGGCAAGTTACCAAAAGCGACACCAAAGAAGAAGAGTAGAACAAAGTGAAAGTAGTGAAGAAGTAACTTCATCTAGTGAAAGTAGTGGCAATGAAGGAAAAAGAAGAGTTAAAGATTCAGTTAAAAACTCAGTCAGGAAGAAAGTAAAGCTTGGTCCGAGTGGGTTCTATTATGACATATAAATCCAACTATTCTATATTTTTACCCATATGAAATGTACGCCGCTCAGAATATAACGCCAACAGTTTTGGATGCCATGAACGGAAATGTTTCCGAATGGTATAACGAATGCGATAATGCCATTAGAAGGTCAGAAATAGTTCCTGGAACTTACGAATATACAACTGCTGTTTCTTATGGAAACGTAGGTGAGTTTGGAGAAGGTTCTTCAACAACAGTAGATATTGCTTGCGACAGGTTTCATATTATTTCTATTGACAACTCATTCTTATACGTGGAACAAGACATTGAAATAAAACCTTCTTCCAAGTTGTCTGACAAGAAAGGTTGCAATGGAATTTTCTATGTCGGATACCAATATGCTCCAGAAGTTTTCATGGGATATAAGATATATTCTAACTCTGACTTAGTTCAAACAGTAACATGGGCAAACTATGAATGGTTCGCTTTGAGAAACTCAGTACAACCACAAGCTAGAGAACAAACAGACCAGTATGCAACTATTGAGAAAATAAGAAGACTTGACCCTAACGTTCCAGGAGTTTATGTTAACCTTTCTGGTTCAGATGGAACTGCTGCCACTAAAGTAAAACTGAAACTTAGAGTTCCTTTGTCATCTTTCCTCATCTTCAGGTTTTTAAGATACTTGCCAAACTGGGCAGGAAAAATTTCTATCGAACTTACTCCAAGCAAAAATAACTTAGTCATTGCACCAACACAAGACCCATTCACTATTACAGACGTAAAGGGAACAAATCAAACGTCATTCGTCGAATTTTGCAAAGACAAAGTTGACTTAGACTTTGGTTTCTCAAACTTCAACAATGAAGTAAACTATTATTTCAATGCTGCTGGAACTGCTTGGGACCCAGTTAAGTTCACATGCGAAAAATTTGAATGCAAGAGAATAGAAAGCAGACTTGCAGTCTATATGTTGGACCCAGATATTTCAAATGCTTTAGCTGCCAAATATATTGCAGTTCCACTTATGTTCCCTATACACCAAATATCTGTCAAAGACTTTGCAGGTGAAGTTGGAAACCAAAATCCAGGAGCCGCAGGTGCAAGAACAGATATTGCTTTAACAACTGCAATGAAACATGCAGATACTATGTTTGTACTGTTCAGACGAACTATAAATGACTATTCTTGTTTCTACAACCCTGGTATTAAATATCATATAAACATAGATGGCAAATATTATCCAAGAGAAGAATATTCTACAGTTGAGGATATGAGGTCATACAACTTGACATTAGATGCTATGAACTTTAACAACAACTTCACAACAACTATTAACCCTGAAATGCAAAGTTCTATTATGCCATATGTGAAAGTATGGACTCATACAGGAGGTCAAAAAACTCAATATACAAATGGAGACCGTTCAAACTTTTGGCTTGGCATTCCATTTGCTGACTCAGAAGACTTTATGGGTAGTATTTCAACTGTTGGTACAGTTCAAATACAATATACTGGTGACAGAGACGGTCCAGATGAATTGAGAGCAAAGAAGTTTACAAAACCAATAGCACTTTTCACGGAAGATGCTCTTTTGAAGATTCGTTCGATGAAACCTGCTGGGGCTCCTCAGATTGGCATAACGACAGCTTCCATCGAGCAGATTTTGGCAGCAGGTCAGTAAGTTGTTCTTGAACTGACTTCTCTCCGTCAAATATTGACAGTACGCCAGTTTTGACATAATATTGTATTATAAACTTTCCTTTAGTAATATCTGTAAGTTTTGAAGTTATATTTTTGTCTGCTTCAAGAACTTTCACCATTTCAGTTATACCAACTTTCTTTGCTTTATGAAAATATTTAGGTTCAGCAAAGACTGCTATTCTATAACATTTTCCATTGTTTGTGTAAAGAACTATTCTGTCAATGTATTTGTATTGTTTGTGAGTATAAACTTTGTTCTGCTTCAATTCAATAAGATATCCGAATACGTCCATCTTTTTATTCTAAGTAAAATGTCATTTCCGAAAAATAGAAGCGTAAGTGTTTCAAAAGGTTTAATGGCGGTGGCAGATGTTAAGTTAAATTCACCAACCCAAACAAACAGTCAAAGTGTTATTGTCAATGTCAAAGACAGAGATGTTGAAGTGGGGAAACCATACGAAGACGAAGATGGTATAACAATTGTTCCTGTAAAAGAACCAACATATCCTGAAGTTAACAGAGACTTAAGTTCTGTTGCAGATATTCGAAACGACTACCAACAACTGAAAGACAAACTTCAAACTCAGGAGAAGATTTGTCAAGCTTTAAGTATAATGTTAAACTTGGGCGAACACAACCCTGTAAAAGTGAACTCATATGTCATTGCACCTCATGAAGTTTTGAAAGAACTATTGAAACTTTTGACAGAGGCAGACGATATAAACATCAAAGAAATAGAACCCGACATTGGTTGCTGTGGTGTTTCATATAATGTCATTGACAAGATATACGTTATGAAAGGAGGTGAAACGTTGAACTTAAAATATAGTTTCCCAGACGTTATAAAAATATTTGACGACCACAACATTTCATTAAAGTTTATTTGCTAAGTAAATGGCAGAAGACATAATGGTTTATACTATTACGACTAAAAACCCTGAGTCATATAATTCTATAACAACAAACTTACAAAGTCCTCAAGGACGATATTGTAAACTAACCTTAAACACAATGACGACTAAAGCCTGTTTTGCTCTTTTGACACCAGAAGACTTTATTGTTGTGAATGGTAAAAAATACTCCTTTGAAGATACTTACTCAGATATACCACCAACAGGTTTTGTTGACTTATTTAATACTTTAAGTACGGGTGTAACATGTGCTGCAACTAGAGCAGGTTTCATTATGTTTGGATGTCCGACTGAGTTTACTATAAACGATATGAGCTATAATACAAAACTTATTTCTGGTTTTTACTACCAACAGTTTCCTATA